CCACGACAGAGAGAGAGAGAGAGAGAGGGGGGGGGGAAACTCGTGTTCCGTGGGAACATTAATTTCCTCAAGCGAATGAAAATGTACAGGTGTGGAATGAACTTGAGAAAGAAGACTTGCCGCCAACCCTTGGAGATGATATGATAAAATAAATAAGGGAAAAAGAAGTGAAAAGTGAAAGAAGGAAAAGAGCCACGAGAAGGAGAGGAAAAAGGAAGAATAAATAAATAAATAAGGGAAAAAAGGTAGGGAAGGGGAAAGAAAGACAAGGTTTGGCGGGTGTCTAATATCGAAGATATACGAAAGAGCAGGACCTTTAAACACAGAAGTGATGACGATCCGGCAAAACGAATATCTGGAAACTGGCATTCTGGGTGTTGGCCAACTGCCTGGGCCCTATCGTTTATTAATTAACCGACTTAATTAATAATTCAATAACCGCCAACGCCATCCGCAACACGATGGGGCGGGTACACCCCCTTCCACCCCCTGATTCTGGCGCTGCGTGTTTGTATAGGAGAAACGTACGAGTAAACGAGAGCTGGCAAAGCTCGAGGATATTCATCGACAAGCCTACGTTATGTTGTGACGATATATAGGTGGTTCGGTTGGTACAAGCAACGTGTTATGCGATTCGAGGATGAAGGGTGAGGAGTTCGGTGACCTGGATAGCTCGTTATTTTTTTTTTTTCTTTTTTCGTTTCTCTATTTGGTGAAAAAGTGGATGATGCCGGCGGGGATGGAGATTATTATACAGTCATAAATAGGCGGTGGATGTTTATGCATTCGGAGGAAATGTAAAAAATGCGTGCGATGTAATGCGCAGAAATGTAGAAAATGTCCGAAGTAAAATGTATGATAAATTTGTACAAAGTACGAGGGGATGATAGAAATTGACGTAGGAAAAATTGCTCGAAGTAAAATGTTATAATAATTTTGTGAAATAATTTTATTGTGCATAATAGAGGAGGAGAATCAATATTAAATATTCGTTATAATATTCAAAGAGTAAAACAAGTTTCTAATTGTTATTACTAGATTCCATTTTTAGAATACGTTTGTAAAAAGTATTTTGTCTAATAATTTGTCCAATAATTCTAATAAGAAAATTTGAAAGAAAGAAAATTAAACTGTGACGAACGAAATTAATACTATTGCAGGCAACACATTTCATATATCTTAAATTATTCGTTAATCGATACACGTGTACATAGATGTCATAGATGATCAGACTTTAATTACAACGAATCTGTTGAATTAGAAGCTTTCTCTCAATTACACGTTGAATACATTAATTAAATCACGCTCTAGAATATCGTACCGATCATATTATAGAACTATTGAATTAATATCGATCCTTTTAACACCGTATTAATCAAAACCTAAATACATTTCATGTCATTCGCAAACAAATCTTCTGTACGTGATATTAATAATGGACGTATTAAAACTTCATTTAGAGGGGATGAAATGATGGAGATATATTGACTGTGGTGTTACAGTGGATCGTCAAGCGTTCACAATTCGATATAATTTTAAACGATAAACATTATCGTAATTTGAACGTTGAACGTGACATATTTTGCATAACAATTTAGACTGATTTAAAGGGGAAAACGAAGATATATACTTTTCTATTCCTATGTTTATGTGTTGTACTTTAAAAAAAAAACAAAAATACATAGTATTTAAAATAGTAATAATCAAACCAAAATTATTAAATAAATTATTAAGTTAAATTAACTTGACGATAAGAAGTACATATTCTTCTCTATTCCTAATATTTAAGTGTTCAATCTCGTTTCATTCAAAGAGGATATTCTATTATGAGAATCAGAGTATTCTCATAATATCAAGTAATATTACAACTAATAAACTCAATAAAGAATATATATTTAGAAAAAAAAAATAATATTCTAAAATAATTATTCAATGGTTTCTTTCGCAAAAATTTATAATTCTTAATAACCTAGAGAAATTTTCTATTAAAAAATAAAGTTTTCATTTTGATTAAAAAAAATAATTATTACAAGTAAAGAAGAAGTTTCTAATGGATGGAACTAAGCAGAGAGTTATCTCTTCGAATTGGTAGATATCTCTGCAGGATATACGCAACATTGGCCGCAATCTTTCCCGCACCAACCCTCGTCTGATCGACTGTGACCAACTCGTGTGCCTGGCGATGACGTACGAACTGGTACGTGCACATCCTCGACACTCGATGCCGAATGGTTTGACACTGGTGGCCAGTGTAAATCGACAGCGGAAATCGTGTGTAAAACGCACGAACGGTAGGAGAGAGTGGAACTTGATCGCGATACTTTTTTTTTCTTTTCTAATATTTTCTAAATTCTTCTTCGAATCTTCGAAACGGTGATCTTTCACTTTAAGATCGTGGAAAAGATCTCTCTATTTTCGAGAAAAGGGATTTCGAAGTGGATTATCCGATGTTCCAATTGAGTTTCCCCGAACAGCACAAAGATTTTATACGGAGTGCATCCAAGATCTTTTTTTTTCTTTTTTTTACAAAATCTCATTTGGGCAAAAAATCGTAAAATCGTAAAATTTTGATTTGTCGATAGTTCGTAACCGTAGATTCTATAAAAATAAGCTTTCAAAATCCCAAATCTCTTGAATCGTTCTATAAATTCAAGTAAAATACATAGCTTCGATAAAAGGGTACACTTTCCAAGTTCTATTTCTCGTAGTAAAATATAAAAAATCCTTTTGGTAAAGAATTTCAAGTAAAAAGAAAAAAAAAAAACGAACTTTCATACCTGATGAAACACCTTCGTTATACACAATATTCTAAAAAATAAATGCATCGTCACTACTCGTCGTCATATTTCTTTTCATTCTGAAATCTATCTAAAATTCACTGAATCACTGATCGAGGGTAGATTGGGTCGGTATTAGATTGGTAAAATGGCAAGATCATAAAAGTAATGGGCGAAATAATTTGTTCGCGTGGTTCTGATATAACAGATTGTCCATTCATCGGATTCGAATCCACTTATCGCGGGATCGATGACTGTATAAATTTTGCCGCCGCTCGTGTTTCGAATTGAATATTCGTAAGAATCATAACGAAACACGAGAATATAAGCCGGCCTCGTAATTAGAAAACAAGACCCCGTTTGTAGCTTTTATCGTTATCCGGCCGGCGATTTATGCTAATGGAAGATTGCTCATGCACAGTCTATTGTGCTTCACCTTTTGTTCTTGTTTTCTGGTTAAATGGATATAAATTTCACCGGTTCGTCGATATTTTACAAGTGTTTGTTGGTTGAATTTCGATTTAACTCGATGAAAAGAACTATTGCAACGAAGCCTATTTTTTACGTGGAACGAAAATAATTCTTTATTAGAAAATTATTCCTACGTATTTTCAACGATTCGATGTCTTTTTTGTTTTTTTTAATTTCGAAAAAAAGTTAATCTCGTGATGATAAAAATTGAAAGATTAGAATTTTTATAGATTTATTTTTTGTTACAATATACATTTTCCTCTTTTCATAAAATCATAGTTCAATCAATTTTCGTACGATGAATTATTCGTAATTTCGCACAATTCCCAAAGATACACTACATACTACTTAATCGATCAAAATCTTCATATTTTTCATGATACGATTTTAAAAATTCTCTCCAAAGTAATACAATATTTTCTACTCCACGCAATCCACACACTTATAATAAATTTAAAATAAAATAAACTAAAATTTCATTTTTCATCATTCGATAAATATTTGTTTCTACGAATTGATAAATCTAATTTCTTTTTTCAAATTAATTCACGCAAAAGTCGGATGAAAAATTCGCACAATCGGATCGCAACACGATTATTTCGCTGTTACATTTTAATGAAACCACCTCGAAACGCTATCGATTCAGTCTTTTACATCCGCGATTCACGTTCAAACCGTGAATCAACCGATCCCTCACCGAGGATCCATGCGCGCGTCATTAAGTGTGAAATACGGCTAATAAAAATCACGGGGACACGGCCGATTTCCAGGTTCGAAAATGGGAAAAGTCCGTGTTAAATCTGGCCCCGAAACGACGACTTGTAAAGCTCGTGAAGAGCGAAAGAAACAGAGAAAGGGAGATAGAGGGTGGAGGAGGAGTGACAAAAGAATAAAATACTCGAAAACATTCGAAATCTCTTGAATCAATGGACGCTTTGCATAAGATTTAGGCGAAATGGAAGGATGGACAACATCTTGTTCCTTTTTCCATTTAAAGATGGAAGAAGAATTTTTGATCTTTGTGGATTATGGAAAGTATTAGTTTTTGGAATTACATGTTATTAGAGCAAAAATATATAGTGTATAACTTGTTTTATGTATGAATTTTGCATTTGAAGTTCAAGAAACATTTATACAAGGAGTCGAGTTGTTTCTCGTTTTTCCATTCGAGGAGGAATTTTTATAGATAAGTTGATAGGTTAGAACGCGGCTGTATATTTTCATTTTAACAGTGTAGGAGAAACATGAAATTGAGAAACATAGTGGAAAATAGACACGTTTATATTTTCATGGAGAATTGCGATATGGAATTTCTTTTTGATACGATTCTATGCAATGGAATATACATAATGTTACAGTTAAGAGATAGTGGAACGAGAAAATGAAAAAACGAAAATCAAAATTGGTACAAGTATCGAGCATACATTACCCTAATATTAATTTCATTACTTTATACGACGATCTCGAAAATAATTAAATCTGATATACACACTTTCGATTTTCTCACAAATACAATTCTTTTTTATTCGATCCAACTCGAACAATAAATGTTTACATATTTTTATCACCAGAACGAACGTATTGATATGCATATGATATAGAAACGGCTTTTGGATGTTACTATTACTATGCATATTAAGTGCAAATTGTAGAATACATTTTAGAGTTACTAAATCTAAATGGGATTACGAACCGAGCCACTCCGGTTCTGAAAGTTCCGTAAGTCCCCGACATTGCATCAGCGAGAAGGAGTTATGGGTGATTAGTATACCGAGTTTGTGTATATGAAATGTCGTTTTCTCCAACGAAACTTCAACACCATAGTTTCTTCCACTTGTCAAAACAATTTCCATCCACGAGACTGTGTACAATTTTCCATCGCCGATTAACCAATTTCATTGTTTCAAATTCGTTCAAAAAAAAAAAAAAAGAAAAAAAAAGAAAAGAAAACGAACCGTTATCGCCATTTATATTTATACGTCTCTCTCCTTCTCCCTCCCTCCTCATCTGTTAATTGAAACCGCGCCAACAAAAAAAAAAACTATCCTGGCCAATCTTTTTCATTTACGGAACGAAGTTAATCATCGGCCGTTTTAACGTCGAAAAAAACCGGCTCGAATAAACGGTACAGCGCGGATACATCCGGTTGGACAGAAAAAGTTAAAAAAACACAAGGCTTTAAACTGGATAGAAACGATGGAATTTCCATGGTGGATCAATTTGCCGTCCAAGAGGTGGAAAAATAAGAAATTGTTGACGAATTGTGCGTGGCAATTCGCGACACGACAAGGAGAACGGAGAGAGAGAGAGAGAGACGGTTGATTCTCGGATTCTGACTCGAAACGGTGGAGAGAATGGGGAGAATGTGTTGAGAATTAAAATTTTTTTTCGCGCCAACCCTCGCGTTTCGAGGAAAACGGGTCCGGGGAAAATCGGTCGAGTAGAGCGCGCCACTTTTTGGCTCTCGACACATCGGTGGTTCTCAACCGCCGTATTTTCTATGGGTCAACGAGGTGGCCGCGTGGTGGTGGAGAGGGGATAATTGATCGATTAAACGCGCGTAAATAAACTCGTGACTCGAGTTCCGTTTGTAATCGCTTTTTTTTTTTATAATTCTCTTTGTTCGCGTTTCGTGACAAAGGGCCGCGTGTGGAGAACCGTCGCCGAGGTACCATTTTTCCGGTACGCGAGTAACCAAAGGATCTTTGAAGTCGATTTTCCGCGGGGAAGCGGAAAAGCCTTTGCAACCACGAGGGAAGTGTATTTCGCAAAATTTTGATGCAATATTTTCCCCTGAAGAATTATCACAGCTCTTTATTGAAACGTGAAACGTGCTGGTCCATTAACGAGTACGCGTGCAACGAACTCGAGATTTTGAACCTGGCTCCTTTTTTTCTTTTTTTCTCTTTTTCTATTAAAGACGGTGTTTAAAAAGAGATAGGAATTTTCTGGTAATATAAACGTGAACGAAAAATATATAGCTTTCCTTCCATGCTTTCTTTGTACACTATCACATCAAAGAATGAATTTTTAAATAACTGTCCTCTTTAAAAAAAAATTTACATATATTCGCGTTCAACGAACTTCTGAAACTTTAAAATTATGTACTTTTGAAAAATAAATTATATACGAAATAGTATCTTTGTATCTTTGATTTGAATTTATTTTTCCTCCTATAGTTATCCTTACCAATATTTACAACACGTAGAAATTTAAAGCTCGAAATTTTTCTGAACGCATAATCGCATAATCGACAACTTTTCTATTTATTACGAATAATTTTTAAAGTTCCAATTAAAAAAATTAAGAAAGAATTTCCATGGAGTGAATTCCACACAACAAATATGGCACAATTAACGTTACAATTTCCGACATATTTTATCAGAGAGCGCGAATTATAACGCCTATTATCAAGGCCCGAACTTCAAGCCGACGAACTTGAAGGTTTAAACTTTCCAGAGAACAAAAGATCTCGGGAGTGGCAATTGATTCCGCGGTATCTTCTCGATCCTTGGCGCAAAGGATACGTCCACGGTGTTCGACCAATGTCGGCCTCCGTTCTCCGGTGGAACAATACGTTCGAATTACAGTTCGACAAACGAGGAGAAAGGATACTTATCACAGGCTTTAAAGATCCATCCAGCGTGGCAAACTTTTGGCGCCCCCTAGCGCCCTCGATAAATAACAATTTGCGCGAAAGATTGACGGTGGAAAGATTTACGTGGCGCAACATCCGCTGCGGAAAGAATATACGAGATATACGCGGTTGAGCTTTCGAATTTTCGAAGGGTAACGTTGGTATTGAGAACGTGGTGGATCGTGTCGAATTTTTATGGATATTTGATTAAAGGAATTAACGTGAATGTGAATTGACAAACGGCGGCGAGTAAGAATGATCGATGGTTTTCATCGGTTTTGAATCATCGCGATTCGTTTCGAAATTCGCGCCTTCATTAATCCTTATTCGCGGGAAATTTGAAGCGGAAGAGGATGCGTATTTTATTAAATTTTATCGATTGGATTTGGAGTTATTCATTTAGTCGAGGAATTTGTAATTCGTTGGTCAAGGTTTGAAGGAAGACAATTTTCAATATTTGATAATTGTTAATAATATTCCTTTTGTTTTTGAACATGTGATAATAGAAATATTGATATTATATTAATCAACATGATCTGCGAGCTTTAAAGCGAAAATAGCGAATAAAAGATTGTATTGATGAAATATAAGAAGGAGGATATAAATATATGTATATATATATGGAATGAAATTGAAATTTTTATGCAAGCGAAAGTGGAAACCCGAGAATACGTAAATTCAATTGGAAAATTGTAATATTCATTTGTGATTGAATTATGATACAGAATCGTATGATTGAATTTGTTTTTTTCTACTTATATAATGAAAATGTATTTCGTTCGCGTTACAAGCAAAATATAAAAGTTTAAAAATTCTTTTATAATAATTTTTTATTCAAATTTTATTACAATTTCATTCTTTTAAATTTTTTTTATAT